CTCCGCCGTGTAGTCTACACAGGCTATTTGGGCAAGTGCTGTTAGCGAGCACCTATTAAGGCCGGCACGGCGCACCAGGGGGTGGGTGGCCAACACCACGCCCGGCCGCCTTTGTCTCCCTAGTGGCGATGTTTACACATCGCACCAGGTACTCATTTGAAGCTGAGTCGACCTAGGGGAGGCCCAGGACCGGTTCAGTGTCGACTGGGAGCAGGAATCGAACCTACCCGCTGCACTACCGCGTACAAAGACAAAGAGACCCCCGTAACGTTGGGGCAAGTGCGGCAACAATGCCGCATACACCCACACCAACACACACAGACATGCCACTTGCAAGGGTGTTTAATCATCTCACATTCCTTGTTACTGCATCTGCCTGTATTGATTGGCGGGGGGGGAAAAATAATAATTATACACAAAGTGAAATACAACAGCCAACGTTAGCAATCAGCTCTGGCCCAAGAACCGCAGTCTCGACTTTTTATTGGGAGAACACGGAGCACGTAGTTTTCTGTTGTTCCCCGGCTGATTCTAACTCCCGTCTCTCTCTCTTGTCTTCTACAGTCACACAATTACACAGGTTTAGCGTTGGGCCCTTTCGTACGTGTGGCCGTGTGTGCGTGTGTGTGGGGAGCGGTGGTGCAGCGGTTAGCGCCACGCTGCGCTACGAACCGGGCGACCCGAGTTCGATTCCCGCTCACGGCCAACACCCCGGTGACGATTCGGCCTTCCCCTAGGTTGACTCAGCCTCAAATGAGTGGCTGGGTGACACCAATGTGGCCGAGCACGGTGCTGGCCAGCCACCCTTCCCTCGTGTGCCGTGCCAATGGTTTGTCAAGGTTACAGGGGGGGATCTTTCGCTTGTTCTGCATAGAGTAAACGTTTAAGGGTGAGCATGCAAATGCATGGACAAGTTTGCGTGTGTGCGGGTGCGTGGAGGAGGCTCGTGAAGGATGCTGCTTGAAATTCGGAAGCAGTCGCCCTCCAGCAACAACGGAAGGCAGAGGAGCCATGCTCACAACAACGAGCGGAGCGCCGGGCGGCTAAAACTGCCGATAGTTGGCACAGTGGGGAGCACAGTTGGTGCATCTGCCATCCATCTCAGTCAGCCAACCCATGGCACCTGCTGGGTCTCTTCCGTGCCCTCCTGCCAGCCAGCGAGCCTTCCACACTTCGCGTGGCCTCAAAGTGCACCTGGCATGGCACAGGCGCCGTGTTGACGTCACCGCCACTTAGTGGCGAGGGGCGGCCGGTTGTTTCGCCTGCGGCAAGCTGCCGCACGCGGGCTCGCGCGCACGCGTTTGGAGCGCTGTCGCGCGCGCTCCCGGCGAGTTCACACGAGTTCACGTGCGGCACGCGCGGCAGTGCCGCGGGGAGCCCCGTGCGGGATCCCGTGGCACTCTGCTCGCGCACAGCGGGGCCGAGAGACCAATACGGCTCAGGTCCACAGGCCGCCAGCCTGAGAAATCCATGACCTTGCAGAATTCCACGTTTGGGTAGGGGAGGGGGGGGATTGCTAACTAGGGTCAGGCGGTCCCTGCACACCCAGGCATCAGTGTGACCTTTCCCTGAGGCCTGGTTCTCAATCTGGTTACAGGCAATACCACAGAACAAAGGCCGTTCCTGTTAGGTTTACCAATAAAACCATGAGCACAGACAAAGGGCCAATTTAGTCGACAGATCTTTTGCTAGATATTTCCACAGCCTTGGATACGCGTTCTTTTTCGCTTGCCTTTCAAGTCTAAGAGTGTCTGGCACAGTGCATGCATGGTCATCATCATCGTACCTTCACAACAAGACTGATAGGGTCTTTGCATAAAATACAATCTTGGACTCAGCCGACATAGTGTATTGTGTGGCACACAACGAATTTCTTAACCATTTAATCTTAATGCGATATGTGTGCTTCCCCTGGGAAATTTAATCAGAAAGCATCACTTTGCTTTTCACTTTTAAGTGGATGAATGGCAAAGCCACCCTGTAATGGGCACAGGAGGGCCTCTTATGCCGTTCCCCACGGTTGAGAATTCTCTGTCACCGATTCGGCCACTCACCTTAAAATTGTCATTGGCAACAGAGTGCATTATGCAACGGCGCAGCGGACATTGCAAAAACCGCCTCTCAAAAAATCACATTCGTGACTATTGCCAAAAACACAGCACATTTCATACACACACTACATCCCGCAACGATTGGTTCGTGCCTGCCTTGATGAAGCAACGGCAGAAACGCCCAAACATTTCGTTGCGTCTCATATCGCTTCCCCCTATGGCGGCTCGACTTTCAAACGGGCTGCAGCTCATGGAAAAACGAAGCCATCGGATTTTTTTTTTTCTTGCAGAGTAAAATTTATCTAGAACACATCCCGCCAGTCCTGCAGCAAGCAATTCCATTCGCTCTCGAGAGAATGCAATGCGTCAATTAAAAAATATATAATAAAATCATGACGACGATGCACGCTACTGCACGAAGCTACACGATAACTTTGCGCGAAGCAAAGTCCTCGCACCCCCCGTGCTCGCTCGCTCGCTCGCGCTCCTCCGACCCGGGCGACTGGTGAGATCGCGGCAATATAAATGTGCCGTTAAAACCCGCCAACGCCCCACACAGCCAATTAGTAAGGTTTGTCACGTATACAGAACGTGCCGATTCGTTACTAGTACCACAGCACGGTACTCAGATTGTGCATGTTGTGGGTTAACTCTCCAACACGCCGGTTAGTGCTGTACTAGTGACGAATTGGCACGTTCTGTTTACGTGACTACCCTTACTAATTGGCCGTGTCGGGCGGTGGCGGGTTTAAACGGCACATTAATATTCACGCGATTTAACCCAAAAAACCCTCTATTGTGGCCGACTTCACCATGCCGCTTGAACGTTGCGTACGTGAGTCGACATCTAAGCCTGAGCCCCCCCCCCAAAAAAATAAAGTAAAACTAATTTTTTGTGGGAAAGCAATTTGCAATCTGAAATTGATTCGTCAAAATAGTGCATTTGATGGGCAAAGTTTAGTTTTCTGCGTGAATGTGTACAACGAGTGATGTAAGCAAGATGTGAAGGAATGTTCACTGGTATCTTAGATGAAATACGCCGATGAAAGGAGCGATTGTCAGCACGATCCTTTCTCTGCTGCAGACCAATTCCCCTGAGAATGCGCCCCCCCCACTTAGTATGTTGATTGCATGACTATAACCACAATTAGTGTTGCGAATAAAAAGTCAAAGCGCCTCGCTGCTCAAATGCAACGCGTGGTGCGCATTCCACATTCCTCTGACCGGGATCAGTTCCCCAAGGATGCTCAGTGCTATCTACGGGACAATTTTTTGCCAGCATTAAGCTCATGAAATTAAAAGGCTTCATCCCCTTACAGCATGAATAACGGTTGTTACGAACGGCTCGGGAGCGAGGAACCACAGACAAGCGGGGGAAGGCGGCCACCCGATGGGCCGGTGTCAACAATTGCCCAAGCTCTGCGTTTCTGAATACATAGGAGCAAGGTGGGTGTCCCGTTCACCGCCGATTCTTTGCGGTGAACGCTCAGCGTTAATTTCACGACGAGGAGACGTTGTCACTCACCGCAGAGACCCACTCTACGATGGTTGGCGCCAAAATGTGCCGCACGCACCTCCCGCATGGCCTTGTGGGTGCCTCGTTTGGCACGGTTGGCTACGTACGGTGCGAAAGAAATTCAACCTACAAACGTACGTGTTCGTGAGCGATCCACCAGCGCCCGCTGCCTCCATAGGGAATGAAGTCTCAGCTGGGATGTAAAAGCATCGAACCAGCGCAGTTAGGTCAACTTCAACACAGGGTTTTGTGGTTGCACATTTAACTGTAACTCACAGGCTGGCTAACATCATAGTAATCATAATCGTACCTATTGTCATCTCCGTCACCATCAGCAGCAGAACTGGCATCAAGTAGCGCCATCAGTTCCAAGAAACAGAGCCACGGCTTCCCGCTCTCTAACTGCTTTCTCCAGCAACCAGGTGCACAGCAACGGCAGAGCTAATTAACCAGGCGCACGCCGGGTAACGAGCGTGCTCTCACTCCTCTCTCGCCAATCGAGCTACTTAGCATTGTCCTTAATTAATAAACCCCGTCCCCCAAGCCCCAGTGGTTCTACACAATCGCGGCTAAATTCTTCCCGAACAATAGGACCAGACAAGTTGGTCCGCAGCCGCATCAGCGACACGCGCGTACACTGCCTGCTGCACGTGTTTGATTTTCCAATGCTTTCTTAACAATACATCAAGAGTGGAGTACATTCTCTGTAGGTCCCCCAACCACCCCTTCTCTCTCCTTCTTTGGACCCCCACCCCTTTCTGAGTAGGGTGGGGGTGCAGCAGGAGTATCAGTGTGCACGAGAAACGCAGAGCTGAGTGGACTTGCCGATGACCGGTACCAGCGGTGTCAAGATCGGCCTCTGTGGAGGAGGAGGCTCGTGAAGGACGCTGCTGCTGCTGCTGGGCAGTTGGAGGCAGTCGCCCTCCAGCAACAACGGAGGGAAAACGAGCGACGCTCACAACAACGAGCGGAGCAGAGGCGGCTAAAACGCGGCGAGTTGGCACAGTAGGGGGGCAAAGGTGGTGCATCTGTCAGTCATCTCAGGAAGTCAACCCATGGCACCTGCTGGGTCTGTGCCGTGAACTCCTGCCACTTCACGTGGCCTTAACGTGCACGTAGCCTGGCGCGAGTGCCATGTTCACATCACGGCCACCTAAATGGCGAACGGCGGCTGTTGTTGTGGTGGGCTAGAGACCGTCGGGGTAGGGAAGCAAGGTGGCTTCACAGCACCCAGAATCCCTCTCAGGGCACCAACATGACAACAAATGTAACGGACACGCCGGCCCGGCCAGCAGCCAGCAGCACCGCATAATGCGCGTGGGTATTACCCAGCATTCCGTGGCACGGGGCCCCAATGGATGAGCTTACCACCACTTAGCGGTCGATGAAGTTTACCGCACAGTGTGTGTGTGTTCATGATCATGCAGGGGTACCTTGCTCCGCACTGTTGCACGTGCCCAAGCACCACGGCGCGACGGAAGGCGCCACATCGCCCAGCCGCTCTGCACAATCGCCGTCTGCAGCGGACGCCGTTGGGCTGCAATGAAACGTGGAACCGCGTAATTTTAGACGTGCCGACGTTTGCTTTGAAATCCCTCACCCGCTTCACGGGGGGGAGCACCGAGATCGCTGCGTTGGGAGTATGAAAGCAGCCGACTGCGTAGTTTGGTCGGCTCGTCGAAGCGTGGGACGAGTCACTCGCGAACGCGAACGTGTTCCTTTGGTTTCGTTGGCACAATTACAAACGGCGTTCGCGAGAATTCGAAACGGCGCGATATAAATCGGAGGATCGTTTTGCTTGCAACTTTCGACGGGCTTTCACCGTCATTTTAATGCGATTTACATCATTGAAGTTCCACCACAGGAAAAAACCCCGTTTTCACAATCGATAAAAATGTAATGTTAAGTCTTCCTCATTAAATTTTGGCCATTTACCAAAACGAAGACTTCTCTGCACATACGTGTCGTCAATATGGGGGCAATCTCCTTGCTAACCCACGCCGTTGTCTCTGTGCAGCAAAACCTTCCACTAACTTTAATTCTGCCCCAATGCACAACGCTGTTTACCTAACCAGAAGTTGGAAACGAGATCACCTTTATCCGTACAATGGAGTCTGGGCCATTCTTGCAGGCATCATATTCGATTCCGAGAATTAAACTCCATGCAATTCCTGCATGAACCGTGCCTTTCCAGTGGGTGATTTGAGTGTGTGCGTGTGTGCAAATAGTGAGGAGCGGTGGCACAGTGGTCTGCACACTGCGCTACGACACCAGTGAAATGAGTTCGTTCCCGCTCACTACCAATAACAGGGGCGAATATTGTAAACAGTTCTGGGCCTCCCCTAGGTCGACTCAGCCTCCAACGAGTACCTGGAGCGGTGTGTAAAACTTTGGCACTGGGGAGACAAAGGCGGCCGGGCGTGGTGTTGGCCACCCACCCCCCTCCTGTACTGTAACGGGCGTTCATAGGGGCTCGCAAACAGCACTTGCCCCAACAGTTTGTTAAAAGCTATGTCTTTGTATATATATATACAATTGAGAGTCTATGTGGGTATGTAAGTGAACAATCAACGACTTGTTAGCCGTGGTAGTCCCAGTTATGGCGGTGGCATCCTGGTAGTTCACGTGGCAGCCCCAGTGGTCTGATCTGTAGTCTTGGTTTTCACGCGTGGTCCTATGTGGCCCCAGCGAGTGGTAGTCCTAGAGGTTCCAGTTGGGAATTCGATGGTTCCAACGGCGGTCAGTGAGGCAGGTGACGGAATGGATGGGGGGACGGGGGCTGGGAATGGAGATGATGTTGCTGGGGTAGGTAAGGCAGAATAAGGTGGAATGTGGCGGTGAGTGAGGGTGTCTGATGGGTGCAACCTGGACGAGAGGCAGTGGGGTATGGGGCATGAGCGTGAAGTGGTGAAATGGGCATGGATGAGGGTAGGTGAAGGGTGGTAGGGGCAGCGGTCTTCAGATCGGGATAATTCACGTCGCTTTTGTATAGAACCACTCCTTCACTCTTTCTTTATCACACAGAAAGTCAGTCAGTCAAACCTGGAAGTTGGATTTAAGAACGTTATTATTAGAGCTGAGCAAACTTGTATATATTTAATGAGGAAACACGAGACTGGGAAATGAAAAAGTACAAAAAGTTAATTAGAGGAAGACAGCGAATTAAGTACAAACGCAAGTTTGATTAAATGGATGAAACTGGCAGTATCTAATGGATGAAACTGGAATTATCTAATAGATTAAACTGGGAGCATCTAATGCAAAGTTCTTGAGTAATATCATGGACAAGGATATGATCGCTGACGACTTTGAGAAGAGGCATGGCACATCGATTAACATTACCCAGAGACTCCCATTATCCAGAGACTAACATTGCCCATAGACTCCCATGATCCAGAGACGAACATTGCCCATAGACTCCCATTGTCCATAGATGAACATTGCCCATAGACTCCCATTGTCCAGAGACTAACATTACCGATCGACGACATTGCCCATAGACTAACACTGTCCAGAGACTTACAATGCCCATAGATTCACATTACCCCACGGAGTAATATTGCCCATTTATTTCATTTTGACATTTTTGCCCACTCAGAAAAATAAATTTGGAAGTAAAACTGGCTGCCATTTTGTAATTTTCAGGCGTTGTTGCCCTGGAGCATAAAATACAGCACTCCCCCTCCCCCCACTGCTGCCCCCCCCCCATCGCTGCCCCCCCCCCACCCCTGCCCCCCCCCCCCACCGCTGCCACCCCCCCCCCACCGCTGCCCCCCCCTAAAATTAATTTCAAAGGTGTCCCCCAACACCCTCTGGAAATGCCACCATGGTACTTCTAACGGCGGCCCTGCCCTTGTTGATGACTGTGCTGTCAAAGCAACGGGACCTCATTTGGACCAATCACAAGGCAACATTTTCTCATTTTCAGGAGCGGGTTCCTAACAACGTCGCGGTCCCAAAAACGCAACTTTTCATTTCCCCGCCGCGAAAGGTCATCTAAGACGGAGCAACAAAAAAAGCTAAAATAGAAACCAATAATGTCGCAAGCCCCGTTATTGGGCAAATATTGCGATGTTTAACTTCACCTTTAGCGGTATGGGGCACCTCAAAAGGTAATGAAAGTGACGACGGCCTTGCTGAAACAAGACGGAATTAATTCGTGATGAGTGCCCCGCGCGCGCTCTGATGAGAGCCTGAAGCGCAACATCTCACAGCGGAGTCCCGGCTACGACCCGCGTTCGATTCCCGCTCGCGACCAATCGCCGTTGCGAATATTTGAACCGGTTCTAGATTTGAAGTTTTCGTGACTGCAAGGATTCATACTCTTTGGTTTTTTGGGTAAAGTCACGTGGGTAAAAAATTCAAATAAATTAACTCACGACGTTTCGGAAGCAACACGAGCCTCTGTCATCAGGTGTAACTGCTACAGCAATTTCACTGGAGCGGTTACACCTGATGACGGAGGCTTGTGTTGCTTCCGAAACGTCGTGAGTTCATTTAATAAAATTTTTTACCTACGTGACTTTACCGAAAAAAAACAAAGAGTATGAATTTGAACCGGTCACGGGCCTCGCCTAGGTCGACTCGGCATCAAATGAGTACCCGGCGCGGGCGTGTAAACGTTGCTCCCTGAGGAGAGACAAAGGCGGCCGGGCGTGGTGCTGGCCACCCATACCGCCGCACGCCGTGCCGTGCCGGCCTTCGTAAGTCCCGCTACTCGCTAACAGCACTTGACGCAACGGCGGCCTAAATGGGGGGTTCGTTAGTCTGTTCCGCAACACACTCGCGCACGCGTACACACGCATGGACCCTGCATGTTCCCGGTTGTTTTTGCGAGCCTAAAATGCGCCACCCCCCTCCACCAACACCGAATGGACTTTTGAAGCAGGGGCGCGTGTGAGCTCACTAATCCTGAAACAAAATGAAATAACAATGATAGAACGACGACCGGCGCAAACAAGCGGATGTGTGAGAGCGGAGATGGAGAAACTTGATATTGAGCGAGAATTCAGTCAGATAAAAAAAATCACCAGAAAAAAACTAAATCGGCGAGGTTAGATAACCCCCCCCCCCGTCACCTCCACCCCTTTAAAGACAAATATCACGAGCATTGCACCTTAATGCTCTCTAAAACAGGGCCGTATGTCGGTGGGGGATAAGCGGAGTTCATCTGATGATGCACGATAAAAGGAAATGAAGCAAATTGATGGGCAGGTTGTCGTAATGGGGCCACACCGAAACTAAACACCCATTCCGAGACCCCCTCGGGATAAGCGCGGCTGAAATCGGCAAAGTTATTCCGCGTCGCTCGGTAACGCGACAGGCCACGCTGCAAAACCCGGCAACAATAGGGGGCATATATTGGAGCTCGCTTTGTGGGTGGCACTCAATGGGCACGCAAGCACATCCGTGCGTTCCCTTTGCCTTCGCCGGTCACGACGAACGAATGCGCGACGGAAGGGACACATATATAGCGTTAGCAAATCTCAACAGATTTCATCCAAACAGCCCGCACGAAAGTTGTATGGGTTGGTCTGCCCGTGAACCTATTTGGAATGATCATGATCAGCCCGTGGGTTGTTGTCATTTTAGAGGCCGCGTGCCTCTTTGGCCCCTATTACACCGTACGGCGGACCCCCATTAAATGCCAAGGCTGCTGTTTGTTTGTCAGAGCGTGGACTGTGTCACGACGAGTGATCTGCGTGTACTCTTATCGCGGCGGATCGTAAAATGGGACGCCGCTGAATGTACAATGGGGCGGGGGGGGGGGCCTCTATTTTTTCTTGAGAACGTCTGAAAAAAAAAGAAATCGTGATGGAATTTCGTAGAGGTCCTTTGGCTTTTGGCTCTTATTCTGTCACCGGTCTGTGATTGTGATTTGTTCCCTGATCCACGGTGTTCGTCAGTGTTTTTAGATCCAAGCATTCCTCGCAGCTGGCAATGACTTAAAGCGTTCCTCTTCAATTAGTGCATCAATGTTTAAAATACTTTGAAAGCGCACGCCGATTTTCAAAGCAAAAATTGCATGAAAGAATCATTATTTTCTTTTTAGAAAAATGCACAAAGCGATATGATCAGCTTTGATAACGGGGATGTGGTTAAGGGGTTTAAAGACTGGTAGCGGCCTACCGCTTAAATCAGTATGCGTGTAGTTCAGAAGAAATTAAGCAGCTATTCTTCATGCAGTGGAAGCCGAGAATACAAATTAAGAGAAAACACTCGTATTAAAAGTTTGAAGATGTGCCACCTTTTACACAGTTGCTGAGCACAGGCCCAACAACGTCAAGCAGGCCAGCAACAAGCGGCACATGTAAATTGTAACAGATAAGAGTGTAAGACGTGGACTTGAACTGAGCACAGATTATCACCGGGGCTCGGGGGGAAAAAAGACGACCATGGGAGACGGGAATTCCAAAATGTGGAGCGGTGCGAGGGAAGCAGCAGGAAGGTCAGTGTTGTGACCGGCAATGTGGTGAGTGGGTGAGTGAGTGGGTTGGTGAGTGAGTGGGTGAGTGAGTAGTGAGTGAGTTGGTGAGT